GCAGTGACTGTATGATTTTGATATCCATCTTTTCACACTGAGGACAATTGTGGGACTTATACACAACTATTACAAAAGGTTCATACATGTACTGATGTTCCAGAGGGGGTGAGGGACTTTTGAACAGGATGAAGATGTGTAAAATTTTCTTATTTTTAAATATCACATTTTTTATTTAGCACTGCTATTCAGAAGATACTTACATGTTTCCCAGAAGACAAAATAAGTACAATTAATTTACCCTTTAGTTTGTCTATTGCATAGTTAAGATGACTTTAGGATTATTCTCCAATGTAAAAACAATAATAAAGAATGTGTAGGTGTGTACCAGACTTTGGATCTGGTATCTACTTGTTTTGAGTGTTTCCTTGAACTACACAGTTCAGAAAACGGTCACGTCATATCTATTTCCAACCTTGTCATCTTCTGCTTATACGGGACCCACGCTCTCTATCGAGATAGAGAGCATGAGACCGTGTCCAGCTGCACCAGTGGACTGTCTCTTATTGGGCCCTGCTGGGTTACCCCTTCTAATCTAGCGCCCCCTTTTGGTCGAGCTGAGAAGTGCTCCCCTCTCTGTAAGGGTTAGTTATGAGTCGCTCTGTGGCAGACACATCAGGTATTTGGGCTGCTTGCTGCTTCCCTGCTTCCCTAAGTCAGTGCTCCCCTCACCTCAGAGGGTTGTCTTTGAGCCTGCCGCTCCCGATTGAGTGTCTGAGGACTTCTGGGCATCTGTGAGCAGATGCTTCGGTATCTTTCTAAAGGCATGCTATGGTAAGTGTGCACACTAAGCACTCTGCGCACTTTCTAAAATTCTGTATGGTAAGGGTTACGCGTTGTCAGCCTCGTTCCCTTTCTCAGAGTTGGCTTAGGCCCCACTCGATTTGGGCTCCACTCAACTAGTGTGTCTCTGTTGATACGTTTTTAAAGCATCGCTCCCCTCACTGTAGAGGGTTATTTATGAGCATGGTGCTTTCTTCCGAGCGTTCGAGTTCTCTCCCCTTCTGAGGAGTTGAATTCCCCGCTCCGTGGGCTGTTCTCGTGGTGGTGTTTAGCAGT